TATGTCCTGGGAGTGCCTTTTCCTCCTGATAATGTAGGTCCGCTTGGCATTTCTTCCCGAACAGGCCTGTTTCATCACAATTAAACACTTGTTCAGGGTTTCAGTCCTCAGTTTCTATGTACTCCTTGAATTCCTGCACATATTTTTCAGCCGCTTTGTGGTCCGAACTGGGGAGCCTCACCAAAGCCTTAAACACACTATGGATGCCACTACGCTTCTTAAAACTCTCAAACCAACCTTTGCTGGCCTTAAATTCACTCACATCATCACTAGTTGCAGGCATTTTTTTAATTAAAATTTCCATGGCAATCTTTAGTTTTAATAAAGATGTTGAGAGACGCTTCTCCTTCTTCTGTTTTTCATTTACCACACCCAAAAAAGTCTTAACATCTTTCCACAATTGATTTTTTTCGAAACACCCGTTGAACTTTGGCAAGAACAGCTTCCTTGATTGTCTTTCTGGTGCCCACAATAGTAGGATGGTTTATTGGGGTTTCTTGTACAGCTTGATAGGTCGGCTATACGCACTCCACTTCATACTTACAATTTTCTCTTTCTTTATCTCTATAGTAATTCTTACCCTTTGAGTGTAGGGTTGGCACTAGAAGCTTTCTTGGGGCCCATGGTCATTATTTTCCAGAAAACAGCACCGAAATTTCTGTTTTATACGAAATATTCCGAGTGGGAATGCTTGGATGTTACCGCGGAGGCTGGCTGGTAAACAATGGGACGGAGCGGCACATGTGAGGCTGGCTGAGGGGACATTGGGCGCGTCTCGGACGAAAATCGGTATGCGGGTTTTATCGGTATGCGCGGCAAAAATTTTGCGATAAAAGTAATCGTATGCCCGGGAAAAATCGCTATGCGATGCCATCGTTATGCGGGGGTCCCCCTGTATTTTATATATATATAATAATAATTTTAATATATATATACACACACACACACATACATATATATTTTTTTATTTAATACCGTGATTGTAACAGTACGCAAATAAGCCACATACCAGAGGAGCTTCCAATGATGTTTTGGTTTGACTTGGACCATTTTCTGTCACACTAACAAAAGGAGAGGGAGGGAGTATATAATAGGCTATAATGGTTCCATATTTTCCTTCCTCTGTCCCTTGTTCCCATCCTATGTGGGCCCTAGCTCCCTTGCAGTGCTCCTCTTAGTATTTGAACGACTCCACACTACTACTACTACAACTATTACCTCTACCCCTACCTCTCTTCCTCCTTTTCCTATAAACCCCTTTGTTCCCCCCCCATGTCAGCTAGCTTATATTACTCCCTCCTCCTCCTCTCCTTTTTGTTAGCGTGATTTTGTAAATGGTCCAAGTCAGACTGAAATGTCATTGTAAGCTCCTCTCCTATAGCGGGCTACTGTGCATTGTTTTCCCGTTACGGTATTGCTTTTTTTTTTTTTTTTGTCATTTATAAAAAATTATGGGTTATACAAGGCATATGTACTTTATTCAAGAAAATTTTGCATTATTTTTAAAGAACTCTTGAAATAATTTTTTATAGATTTTTAGACACCCCAAAGCTTCAGAAATCATTCAGTGATACAAGACAAAGGGGTACAGAACTAAGTTTATGTGCAGAAGGAGGAAGAGGAAGTCATAACTGGTGAAATAAGTCTGCACTGAAGGTAGAACTTCCCAAGAGGAAAGTAGCCAGGGCTAGTACACTATAGGGGGGAGGGGGCTGAAAGCTAAATGAAATGCTTTTTCTGATAAACCTAAGTCATGTTAGTGGACATTTAGTCAAGTATTGCCTGATAATCCTCAGGAGGACACACTGCCCCTTTTCACAATATAAGCTTGCACAAGTAAATCTCTTAAAGGGGCATGTACACAGTAGTGTATATGCCCTTTGAGAATTACTTGTACAGATTTATGTAAGCAGATGCTGCAAGTATATGGAATAGATATTTAGGTATTTAGACTCATGTTGGGGTATGTAAGGGGGGGGAGATTAATAATATATTTACAGAGATTGAAAGGGGGAATGCTAAGGTGTCTAGAAGAGGTGTGAGATTCAAAGATAATCAAATACAAAATGGAAGTTATCACAGTTAGTTTTCTGCGAATGACATGTGCCTTTGGGAGATTCTAAACCCTGATGACAATGTTTTTGGAAGATTCTAAAGTGAAGTTGCAAAGGCTGGTGGCTGAATCTGTGAATGTAAAAGCACATTAAAAGTGAGCAAAAGAAGGAACAAGATGATGCATCTCAGATTGGAAGGAAGGAGTATGAAGTGAATAAGTAGAGATGTAGGAGTGGACTTCCCAGTGGATGGGTCTATGAATGATAAATGAACCACAAAACTGTCAAGGGGAAAAAGTAAGGTGGGTGGTGCATTAAGGCAACCATGGAGACAAAATTACTTATTGAGGCAAAAGGGAAATGAATCAGAGTATAGTAGTAACAACAAACTTGTGGGTTTTTAAACTTGCTGCAGTGAGGAGAAGGCTGGAAACATTGGCAAGGTCATCCCTGAGGGCATGTGTGGTGTGAAATATCAGCCAGAGAATTTGTAATCTTAAGACTAGAAAGAGATGCAGAATTTTTTTTTTTTTTTCCAACAAGTCGGCCGTCTCCCACCGAGGCAGCGTGGCCCAAAAAAAAAAATCCCCAAAAAGAAAATACTTTCATCATCATTCAACACTTTCACCAACACTCACACATTATCAATGTTTTTGCAGAGGTGCTCAGAATACAACAGTTTAGAAGCATACACATATAAACATACACAACATATCCCTCCACACTGCCAATATCCCAAACCCCTCCTTTAAAGTGCAGGCATTGTACTTCCCATTTCCAGGACTCAAGTCCGACTATATGAAAATAACCGGTTTCCCTGAATCCTTTCACTAAATATTACCCTGCTCACACTCGAACAGATCGTCAGGTCCCAAGTACCATTCGTCTCCATTCACTCCTATCTAACACGCTCACGCACGCTTGCTGGAAGTCCAAGCCCCTTGCCCGCAAAACCTCCTTTACCCCCTCTCTCCAACCCTTTCGAGGACGACCCCTACCCTGCCTTCCTTCCCCTATAGATTTATATGCTTTCCATGTCATTCTACTTTGATCCATTCTCTCTAAATGACCAAACCACCTCACAACCTCCTCGCTGCTGCATTTACCCCCCAAGCTTCACACCCATATAAGAGTGTTGGTACTACTATACTTTCATACATTCCCTTCTTTGCCTCCAGATAACGTTTTTTGACTCCACATATACCTCAACGCACCACTCACCTTTTTTCCCTCATCAATTCTATGATTAACCTCATCCTTCATAAATCCATCCGCCAACACGTCAACTCCCAAGTATCTGAAAACATTCACTTCTTCCATACTCCTCCTCCCCAATTTGATATCCAATTTTTCTTTATCTAAATCATTTGATACCCTCATCACCTTACTCTTTTCTATGTTCACTTTCAACTTTCTACCTTTACACACATTCCCAAACTCATCCACTAACCTTTGCAATTTTTCTTTAGAATCTCCCATAAGCACAGTATCATCAGCAAAAAGTAACTGTCAATTCCCATTTTGAATTTGATTCCCCAAAATTTAATCCCACCCCTCTCCCGAACACCCTAGCATTTACTTCCTTTACAACCCCATCTATAAATATATTAAACAACCATATTGACATTACACATCCCTGTCTAAGACCTACTTTTACTGGGAAGTAGTCTCCCTCTCTTCTACACACCCTAACCTGATTATTATCTAGAGGGCTGAAGAGGTTACCAAAGCAGTTTGGACATTTAAGAGGGAAAGGAGCAAAATAGGAAGATTTTGAGGGTGCATAAAGCTATAATGCAGGAGAGGGGTTGTCCTAGGAAAGGTTGGAGGGGGTAAAGGTTTTGTATGTGAAGAATTTGGACATCCAACAGGTGCATGTGTGAGCAGATTAGGATTGAAGGCAAGTAGTTTTCATGATTTGATGTGCTGTTGGAGTACAAGCAAGGTAACATTTACAAAGAGATTTGGAGAAACCAGTTAGCCAGAGTTATCAAGGTGAGAAGTACAATGCCTGCACTCTGAAGGAGGGTTGGGAATATTATTGATGGGGTATCCGAGCTACAGTTTCAACACATCTCAGGCAAGTGTGATTGAGGAAATATTTTCTTTTTAAGGTCACCCACCCAAGTGATCAACAACTGCAGTGCAAACAATATGAGAGCACACTACACAATGCCCTCTGTGGGCACGCTTTTAATTTTTCTGGAGCAAAAAACGTGCTATATCAACCATTGCTGGAAAATCAGTGTTGCCCTGCCCTAATTTTCATCATGCATTTCTTACCAATTTTTCCTGTGGAGTTTCCTTCACACCCCAATCAAGCCCTGCAGGTCATCTTTCTAACCGTTTTATAGCAAGTTCTTCTGCTGACAGCAACTGGTACAACTTAAAAGAAAATCAATGAACTAAAAATATAAAAGGATAGTCACCTCCATGAATAAACTACTGAGGATTGTTTTCTTACTCCCATATATGTATGATGTGAGAGTAAATAATAGTTGAGATAGGAAAATCAAAATCGCCTCAACAAACTTGTAATGTTACAAAACAGACCTTTAAATTGAAGCAATTTTCAGTGCATAGAAATTATAGTATATTACCATGTAAAGAAAGTATTTCATATATCCTTATGCAGCATCTCATCTAAAAGTGCTCAGAATATTTCCCTAATGCAAAACTAACACTAACCATTCCCCATCTTAGTGAAATGACTGGTAACAAAAACAAACAAGTATTGTACTTGCAAAAATTTATCTCTGCTCTGCACCAATGAAGTAACGTGTTGCACTGTTTGAGGGAAAACAAGTGAATGTAATTATCCAGTGGAAAAATGGAAAAAATACAGTATGCAAGTAGTTTTTCATTTCAGATTCTTCATTATCCTCAAACAAACTAGGACGGGGAAAGAAGATTAATATCATCACAACAAAGATAAACGTGGTTTATTATAAAAGTACAAAATTTGAAAATAGTTTGCCACTGTGAAGGAACTGCTCAGAAGGATATTTTCCTTTTTTTTCCCAGTAAGGCAAACCTGGAAGTAAATACTGGTCAAGAGCAGAATCTTTTCAGTAATTTCTTAAATTAGCCTAATAAGTGCCATGCAGGGATCAACAGCTGCATACCAGTGGCATGCTTTATTCAGGCAATTTTCATCATTTTGGAGGAGGTTGGAGATGTTGCAGTCGGAGGGGTAATCTGACTGTGATATCAGCACATTTCTGGAAAGACAGTGATTGAGTGAATGTTTTCTTTAGAGCACACTTCTGGAAAGACAGTGACTGAATGAATGTGTTTTCTCTGAATCACCCTGCACTGGCAAGAAAACTACCTTTTCTGGCTGACACTTCCTATATTGAAGTGTTATTTATCATTTGTCCTGTAACTCTTTTACTACCAATGTCACTTTGCCTGGCCCCAGGAAAACATTTTCACAACACTGAAAAGACCCTGCTCCACATCAGTACAAATGCATTGACACCATTATGACATTTAATTAAAACAGGTAGGGTTTAGTCAGAAGTTAAGATAATTACCTATCGACATACCTTTCACATTTTACACATACACAAAGGAAGCATTTTCAATCAACTAAAAAATAATAATAGTTACCACTGTGAGGGAGCTGCTCAGAAGGATGTTTTATCTCCAGGATGGCAAATCTGGAAGTAAACATTTTGTCAAGAGCAGAACCTTGTTGAAAGTTAAGACACTTGTGCAACATCTGGTTATCTTTATTGTAGACGTTTCGCCATCCAGTGGCTTTATCAACACAAATTCTTGGACATAATTAGAAAACAGAAGAACTATATACAAAAGATGAGGTAATCAGTCCCTCAGCCTTGGAGGTGGTGTTTACAACACCGTGGTTGTAGAGATTCTGAAGCACAGGTAAGGAGACTGGCGCTTATATAGGCGTCAGTGAAGAGAGACGTGTAGCAGACGAGGGCATAGTCACTGGCAGGCGGGATTCCCCAGTGGAAGTAGATAACCAGATGTTGCACAAGTGTCTTAACTTTCATCTTGTCGGTATTGTATACCTGTCTTGCACAGCACAACCTTGTTAGCAATTTCTTAAGCTATATTCTTAAACACTATTCATCAGTTCTCACCAAAGTAATAAAGAAAGCCAAACAACTGTACTACTCCAGCAGATTCACTGACACAAGAGGAGATGTAAAAAAGACCTGGAAAACACTTTCCCAGATTCTGGGGACAAACTGAAAAAAAAAAAAATATTGTTCTAACTAAACCTCATGAAACACCACCACTGCATCCCACTGATACAGCTAACAAGATAAACGACTTCTTCTCAAACATAGGATCTAATCTCGCCAGTAAAATCCCAACGTACAAATGCCCGTGCCGGGGACTACCTAGATGGAATTTCCCAAATTCCTTCTATCTTGTACCAACGAAACCCACGAAAGTCACCGCGATCATAAAGTCACTTAAAAATAACTTGGGGAATCTGTCTCACGTCCCACCATTATTGTACAAGGAAGCGGCCCATGTCCTTTCGCATGCTATTACATTACTTTTTAACAAGTCACTAGAAACTAGCACTTTCCAGACACTACTCAAGACAGCAAAGGTTACACCAATACATAAAGGTGGTGACCCTACAGATGTAAACAACTATAGGCCAATATCAAACTTACCATTGCTATCCAAAATATTCGAGAAACTTGTGCACAGAAGACTGTATTCATTTATAATGGCACGAAACATACTCAACCCTTGCCAATTTGGATTCAGGAAAAATAAAAGCACTAATGATGTAATTATAAAAATGCTAGACCTGCTTTACACAGCCATTGGAGCATAAGGAATATCCGCTAGGAATTTTTATCGACCTAAGAAAAGCGTTTGACACAGTTGACCATGGCATCCTATTCCACAAACTTGACCACTTTGGTGTAAGAGGCCATGCGCTTGCATATTTCAAATCCTACCTTTCAAATAGGTATTAGTATGTCACCATTAAAGAGACAGCGTCATCAATACGACCACTTGATACTGGAGTTCCGCAAAGAAGTGTCCTTGGACCCCTGCTCTTCCTCATTTACATCAATGATCTTCCAAACATATCCCAACACCTGAAACCCATTCTCTTTGCTGACAACACAACTTATGTCATCTCCCACCCTAATCTTGCCACCCTCAATACCATTGTTAACGAGGAGCTGCTCAAAATATTGACTTGGATGACAGCCAATAAACTTACACTTAACACTGACAAAACCTACTATATTATGTTTTGGTAGCAGAGCAGGTGTTGTGCAACAACATTAAGATTGACAACACTAATTGCCAGACATAATGAGGGCAGATTCCTTGGCCTATACCTCGACAACAACCTAAATTTCAGCACCTATACCCAACACAACAAAAAAAGTTTCCAAAACAGTGGGGATCCTCTCCAAGATACGATACTATGTGCTGCAAACTGCCCTTCTCACACTATACCATTCACTTATATATCCATACCTCACCTATGCTATCTATGCTTGGGGTTCAACTGCAGCAACACACCTGAAGCCAATAATAACCCAACAAAAAGCCGCAGTAAGAATAATCACTAAATCCCATCCCTGGCAACCCCCCCCCACTCTTCATAGATCTAAACTTACTCCCTGTTCAGAACATCCACACTTACTACTGTGCAATCTATATCTACAGGACCTTAAATTCCAATATTAACACTGACCTAAACTGCTTTCTTGATAGTTATGACAGGATCCACAGGCATAACACCAGACAAACATCTCTACGACATTCCCCGTGTTCGACTAAACCTTTACAAAAATTCATTGTATTTCAAAGGACCTAAAATCTGGAACACCCTACCTGAAAACTCTAGAACTGCAGACACACTCATCACTTTCAAAACTACAGTTAGAAAACATCTCATCTCCCTGATACACTCCGACAACTAACTACATGATAACCACCTGGTGGTTCACAATTACACTCGCTCACCCACTGACTATAAACCCAGAAATACTAATCTTAATCTTAAAATAATGAATCCTAACTAGTCATAAGTTTGCCTATGATACTCCAATATAGACACTTTGTATTGTGCTAAAACAATAACATTCACATTGCTAAACTCACAAATTACAATGTAGTCACCTAGCCTTAATACCATAATCTGTAAGGATTTAATGTTAAGAATTAATCCAAGTCTGCCCAAAATGCCTAGCCATGCTAGGTGTCCTAGTGGCCCCCTCTGTAATTAGTATTTTATAACATGTAAACCACACAATATCCAAATCCTGTAAACCCCACATTGTAACCCTTATAGAGAATAAACTTGAACTGAATTGAATTGAATAAACTTCAGTGCCATGCAAGGATCAACAGTTACATACCAGTGGTATGCTTTGGTCAGGTAAGTTTCATCATTATAGAGGGTGGGAACATTGCAGTCTGTGGGGTAATCTGTGATTTCAGCACACTTGTGTACACACAGTAACAATTTCTTTGGGTCACCCTGCCAAGACTGTTGCTTAATACATATTTTATTTACTCACTGCCCATTTCCCGCCATCATTCATTCAATCATTATTATTCCAGAAATGTGCTAACATGACAATCACATTCCCCTCCAACTGCAATATCCTCACCCTTCCTTCAAAGTAGGCAGTGTCCTCCAAGTCCATCTAACAAATTTCTTCTGAATACTTTCATAATAGTTACCCTGCTCAAATTTCAACAGTTCGTCCATTAGAAACCATTTTATCCTTCACTGCTAACACTAACACACACACACACACACTAACACTAACACACACTAACGCGCACACACACACACATAACACTAACACACACTAACGCGCGCACACACACACACACGCCTGTTGGATACTCAAGCTCCCAAAACTCTAAAGCTTCTTCTACCCCCCCTCCCCCCATTCCTGGGATGACCCCTCACCTACATTCCACACAGATTTATTAACTCTTTATCAACATATCTCTGTCCATCTTTTATACATGCTAAAACCATCCCTACAACCCATCTCACCTCTCTGAATTATACCACTGGTCAACACACATCTTCCCTATTAATGTCTATGGGTCAAATTTTCTGCAGCACATTCACAAAATTCACTGATTTCAAACGTGATATCTGCTGCTTCTAGCTTTCTTTTTCACTGCAGCATTCAAAACCCATGTCTCACACCCATATACAAATACTGTACTGGTACTTCTATAAGGAAAGTATTTTATTATCTTTATACCATATACCCTTATACAGTGGACCCCCGGTATTTGATATTAATCCGTTCCTGAGAGCTCATCGAATACCGAAAATATCGAAAAGCGAATCAATTTTCCCCATAAGAAATAATGGAAATCAAATTAATCTGTGCAAGACACCCAAAAGTATGAAAAAAAAAATTTTTACCACATGAAATATTAATTTTAATACACACAAACTGAAGAAGACATGCACAGTTACATGACACTTACCTTTATTGAAGATCTGGTGATGATTGATGGGATGGGAGGAGGGGAAAGTGTGGATGATGTTAGTGTTTAGAAGGGGAATTCCCTTCCATTAGGACTTGAGGCAGCAAGTCCTTTTCCGGGGTTACTTCCCTTCTTCTTTTAATGCCACTAGGACCAGCTTGAGAGTCGCTGGACCTCTGTCGCACAACAAATCTGTCCATAGAGCTCTGTACCTCCCGTTCCTTTACGATTTGTCTAAAATGGGCCACAACATTGTCATTGTAATAGTCACCAGCACGGCTTGCAATAGCTGTGTTACGGTGATTTTCATCCATAAAGGTTTCCAGTTCAACCCACTGTGCACATATTTCCTTAATTTTTGAAGTAGGCACAATGGATTCCACCACTGGCATAGGCTTCTCAGGGTTAGCCCCAAACCCTTCAAAATCTTTCTTAATTTCCATACTAATTCTCACCCTTTTTACCACAGGATTGGCACTAGAAGCTTTCTTGGGGCCCATGGCGACTTATTTTGCAGAAACAAGCACCAAAAACAGCGATAATATGGAATGTACCGAATGTATCCTTAGATGCGCGCACACTGGCTGGCTTGTAAACATTGGCACACACAGGGCAGTTCAGGCTACATGTGGACACATCTCGTATGAATCGCATCGAATACCAGGTTTTCAATCAGATAACGAGGCAAAATTTTTGCGTTAAAATGCATCGAATACCGGATTTATCGAATACCAAGAGTCCACTGTACTACATGTTGCACTGCCTGTAGGAAACTAAGCACATGTAACTACAAAGTGGGAAAAAAATGAAAATTACAGTACAAAATCAGTATTCAAGTAAATTCTTCATTATTCAAACAAACTAGGATGAGAAAAAAGATGATTATCTTTCAACAAACCAGTCATATCTCACCAAGGCAGGGCAGCCCAAAAGAAAAAACAAAAGTCTCTCCTTTTAACCCCTTGACTGTCGCAACCCCAAATCCTGAGGTGTCTCCTGGTGTCGCAAAATTTCCGGGGGGGGGATGCTCTCGTGAAGTTCGTGACCTTGGCAATATTTATGAATTGGCGATTTTGCCCGCTTTGACCCCTATTTTCGGCTAATTCCATTGTTCCAGTTGACCAAACTCGGCTATTTTTTTAGAACTCCATTTTTTTATCGACTGAGTACAAGAAACTGCCCA